AGATTTTATTTTATTTCTTTTTTGCACCACGCCCTAAAATGTATATTATCTAATTGTTTGCATTGTGTCTGATGTATACAGAGGCTTGAAACACGAAAAATGGGAAAACCCTGTATCAAAACAAAACAGACGCACTTTGGGAAGACTTTTAAAAAACAACTTTGCAGGTGCACACACAAATTCAGACTTGGATGAAAGAAGCCATCAGCTGCGCTGTCTGCGGCTTGGGAGCGCAAGCAACAGGGCAATGTGTGGTAGAACATCGGTCTAGGCCTTCATTGGTGTCTAGTGGAGGATAAACACTAGATCAATGAATTAACAGCCCAGTTATATGCATAGTTTGACCAGTAGATCTTAGCGCGGATCTCCAACCCCCAGTGATTAGATGTATAAATGCAGCTTATGATGTTTCATAAATGCAGTTTAGAACAGTAGCTTCTGCAAAAAAGGTTTTTTTAGTGAACCTGCGCATGAAAAGGCAGTTTGCGGCAATATTTCTGGCGTTTCTGGTGTGCTATTCACACGCAAGGATCTCGATTGGGGAGGCGGTAGACCTCCAGAAGGCAGAAATCGGAAAGGACAAAGTGATTATAAACCCAAGAGGCCCGCTAAACATGATTCGTGGATACATATACTCAGAAATGGAATACATGCACTGCAAGCGGTTTTTATCGCCCGAGATAGAAACAGACTACACGCTGAAGTGGGTTGATGATGACAAGAATCCGGAAGCCGGGGCATACCAGCACACCCGAAATGCGAAAAACGACAAGGCATATGGCCCAAGCAAAAATGCTGCTGTGGAAAGCCCAGAGCATTCTGAGTACTCCGAGAGCTATCACAACACGCTTATACGGATGTTCCCGTCTGTTGATGGCAGAAACCTCTCGATTCATGTAGCAAAGGAGGACTCGTTCATCATCACTCTGCAGCGCATTTGCACGAAGGAGCAGGCGAACTATGTTCTTGCTTCATTGCTGCTGCTGAGCGAGGGCGTGATAGTCCCCATTAAAGCAACGCAAACCAAAGTCACACTATGGAAAACCATAAATGCGGAGAGCGAGTACAAGAAAGCAGTCAGAAAAGACAAAAAAACATCTATTAGCGAGTATATGTTCTTTGAAGCAGACGCCAAACTGCATATGTCAGTTCCGCAGAAAGACTTTGCAAAGGTCGTGGACTTCTTCAAGAAGTACAACAAGCCAAAAGAACTTCCGGACACACATGGGAGGTTTATCAGAGGCAAGTTTCTAAACACTCCGCAGTTTCTTATACAAGCGTACGTGTTTGAGTACATAGAAGGCCAGGAAGATGCAATGCGGTTTCTGGAGTGTGTCCACACTCTTCTCGAGTCCCTGGGGCATGTAAAAGAACTTTCTGCAGGAAAGAAAGACATATACAACCAGTGCTTCTGTGCAACTGAAGAGAAGGAGAAGGCAGAAGAGTATTTGCAGCCGTTTTCGGAGGTTTATAGAATGCAGAAGAAGTTTGATTGGTTCCCGTTTTACGCCAAAAGCATGCTGCCGCACTATAAGTCCGTGCGGTTGTACGACAAAGGTCAAGGTAAGTTTACAAATGACATTTTCTCTAACTGTGTGGAAACAGGCCTGTACGCGCTGTTCTGCTGTCTGGCATACGATGCAAAAGATAAGAAGTACGACGTATTACGGATGCTGGGCGACAGGAAAGACCGGCCTGAGACAAAGCCACTGAGAGACTTCTTCAGCTTGAAAGATGTTGCTCCAAATAAGTATGCGACTATAAAAGTGCTTGAAGAGTGGAATAGAGTAATGTCTGGCCTAAAGTGCGACCGAATAGGCTACAAGAGCAAAAACAGGAATGAGATGCGGTCTGGCATTATGAACATTCTGTACGTGATTGCCGAAGTAACAGGCCGACTGGACACTGAGCAGGAAAAAATAGACGGACTTGCGCAAAGACTAAACAGCGAAGAAGCGCCAGAGAAAAACATATACAGTGAAATAGAGGAGTATATTTCCAGCCTTTTGAAAGAGCTCTCAGTAAATAAGAACATGGAGGTGTCCTTTTCGAATGGGCGTAGAGACGTCCGGGAGGATGGAAAATTCAAGTTTTTTGCGCATGTCTGCTTGGATTACAAAGACCAAGAAACTGACTTGACTCTGGGGCTGGAAATGAGGATTTCTCCTGGGCATTTGACCTTGGGCCTGCATGAGAGCGATCAGTGCATAGCCAACAAAAAGGAAGTATATGAGGCTGCCAAAAAAATGTACAGATCTGATAAGGTATTTGCAGGATGCTTGTTTTCTAAGTATTTTTTGGCCTGGCTGATACAAAACGGTGATGACGTCGTTTTAGACCAGACTATTGCCAACCTTGTAAAACACAATGTAGAAGACGTGCATCCTGGGGGAGCAAATATGGTTTTTATATTCAATCCTATTATAAGAATGTCACGTAGAAGTAAAATTATGCCCAGAATATGTGTGTGTGCCAAGAGCATGTCGGTGGACCTAAACAGGGATCGCCCAGCCACTCGCCTGGTCTTAAACACTCTGGGAAGTGTTATATTAGAGGATAACTCTGGTTCAGTGGACGTTGCTTTGAAACCCCTCGTGCAGCTAAGCCAGATAGAAGCATTCAAACCAAAGGTCACTTTAACGCCCAAGAAGATCGGTAGTCTGTTTATGAACTCGAACCACATTACAGAATTGTACAAATATGCTCCAAAAGGAAGCGATGCTGCTGCAAACGCTGCTATGGAATACTTTAGAGAGTACAAAAAGAAAACCGGAGTGTCCCTTTTCCAATGCAGTAGTCTATTCTTAAAAACCATGCCAATCACCATATTTGCAGGCGACACCATTCGCTTGGTCGATGAAATTAGAGAGCTTCTTTCGGATGCCAAGGATACAGAACGGGAAGAGGCTGCTGAGGCCAGTTATGTGCTAGATCTTTTCTGGCTTGTCCACGCACTGCACATGCATTCAACACAGACAGAACTCATTGAAAAGCTTTATGATAGAATTTTCCCATTAGAAAAAATAAGCGAGAATATCATCGAGAATATAAAGGCCATGTGCAGTCTTGAAGACCTAAAAAATATCGCACTCCTTCTTAAAATGCACATGGAGACGCGCCGAACAGGGAATGACGACGAAAAACTCGATAAAATACTCAAAACAGTTGATGCATTCGGAACCAGCACATAAGTATCGGAGAAATTCCGGCTATAAGTCTGCGCCAGCACAGAAAGACAAGAATTTATGCCCAAGTTAGAACAAGCCAAGGACTTAGTCCCTAATCTGCGCATGGCGGAACAAAAGAGAATAAAGAACACGAAAATCACTTACACTTATATATTCACAGAAATAGATTTGAGCGCATATTTGTAATGCGGAAAATTCCTGTATTCAGCCGTGCTTTTCTTCCAGGCTCTACTCTCTCTGCGTTTCAGCTGGACTATGAGCGAGTTTGCCAGAGTTTGCGTGCACCTATATTCAAGCCAGAGCAAGCAAAACCCGCTTTCAGGCACGACAATGCATTAGCTCTCTTCCTGCACGCACAAACTATCTGCAGCCGTTGCATTTGTCTGTTGTATTTTTCTATATGCCCGAGTTTTCTCTGCAAAATATTTTATGTTCGAATACTTGCTGAGCGTAATCGTAGGAATTATTCCCTTCCTGCTCTACATGGCATTTGTAAAACACACGAAAACTCAACCTGTGCCTGTTTCTGGTGAGATACGCGAGAATGTTCCTGTCAAGGGCGTTCTTCTGGTGAGAAATGACCTGAACATGGGAAAGGGCAAAATAGTCGCGCAGGCCATGCACGCAGCATACTCAGCCGCGAACAAGAAGTCTCTCCTCTCTTCCGCGTGGAAGCACTGTGGATTCAAGAAAGTCTCGCTGAAGGTGGAGACAGAGCAGGAAATGGACACTCTCGTTGAGAAGGCGCACTCCAAAGGGATTCCGTGCAGCCCAGTGATAGACGCAGGAAGAACCCAAGTCGAGCCAAACACGCACACAGTCACTTTCATAGGCCCGTGGTACGAGGACGAGCTAAACGAAATAACTGGGCATCTAAGACTGCTATAGCCAAACTCAAACTCAAATTCAAAGACTGCGCACATTTCCAGCGAAAATAAGCTAAATAAGCTAAATACGCATAAAGCCTTAGTATAGAGGGGAAAAGCAGGAGATTTTTTCAGAGTTCGGGTTTTTATTCTGCACGGAGGAAAGCGCCTCTTTTTTTGCGCTTTCTTTTTTCTTTTCCATGGAAATTATCGGCTCTGAATACTTGCCGGCCAATTACAAGTTTGAGCTGCAAAAGACCATACGGCAAATAGAAAGAAGAAAGAGCAAAAAAATAGCCTTGCAATTTCCGGAAGGACTCATGCATCTATCGACCGTTATATCCGATATAATCAGAGCGAACACAAGCGTGGAGTCTGTTACTATTTTGGTGGATGTTGTGTACGGTGCCTGCTGCATTGACGATGTTTCCAGCTACCTGATAGGGTGCGACCTTCTCATACACTACGGGCACTCTTGCCTCTTTGAAGTTACAAAGTCTCTGATTCAGGTGATGTACATCTTTGTGGAGATAAGCTTTGATATCTCGCACTGCCTGAAGGTTGTGAGAAAGCACGTTCCAACGGAGTCACTTGCCGTGCTGGGAACCATACAGTACAACAGCACCGTGCGAAGGATAAAGAAGGAGCTAGACGCAGAAAGAGTTCGAAGGCTGGCAAGTTCCGAAGCTGCGGGGGAGAGCGAGGGAGCGTGCGTTATCCCTAGAAGAGACCCGCTGAGTCATGGGGAAGTCCTGGGGTGCACTTCGCCCGTGGTGCACGCAGATACGGTTCTCTTCATATCCGAAGGGCGCTTCCATTTGGAGTCTCTGATGATACAGAACCCGAACAAAGCGTACTACAAGTACTGCCCGTTTTCAAAGCGTCTTACCATAGAGAAGCACGACTACAGAAAATTTATAGGGATTCGAAGGGACGTAAAGAAAAAGGCCGCAGAAACAAGTGCGTACTTGATCGTGTTTGGGACACTGGGAAGACAGGGAAGCATGGGCATACTCCACAAGATAGAGGAAGACCTGATAAAGAAGGGCAGGACGTATTACGTTGTTTTTATATCAGAGATAGATGAGGTCTTTGTGGAGGCCTTGCAGGACATAACAATTATAGAAATAGCATGCCCCCGGATAGCGATAGATTGGGGCTCAACTTTTACAGTGCCAATCATCACCCCGTTTGAATACTTCAGCAGGGACCTGGAAAATTACCCGATGGACTACTACGCGAGGGAGAGCCCGCAGGAGATGCGCCCGTGGCAGAGTCTGCAGTAGAAGTCCAGGGTATTCGGGGAGTCGTAAATCCTGGAAATTCGCACTTTTTGGCAGAATCTGCAGATTGACTATGTTTGTGCGTGTGAAAAGTTTCACAATATACTTTGTTCCTGGACACTTTCACAGAGGAGAGGTCTCGCTGATTTTGTGCTTCCTGCGGAGGGATCCGCGTGCTTTTAAATATTAAAAATACTTGCATTTTTTGTTTGTGCTAATGTCCATCCATATTTTGCTATTTGCGCTGGTCTCTGCATGCGTGGGGTTTGCAGCTATAGTTGCAGTGAGGAGGCTCTTTGGGATACGGCCGGAGGCAGGCAAACAGCAGCCGGAGACGCAGACGTATCCGGTTATTCCGTCTGAGGGCATGATGCACTCTTTTTTGCAGGGCGTTGGGGGGCTTAACTGCCCGTTTCACTGCAAGGAAGACCTTCTCGTGGCGAATGGGAGTGCGATGTACTACTTGATAGAGGGCGCGGTGGAGGTCATTTTGAATGGGGCAGTTATAATGTGCAAAACCCAGGACTACTTCGCATACTCTGCGTACTGGCTGTTCAATCCCTCGCACAGGACGGAAATAACGTACCGGATCCGGCAGGAAAGTTTTCTCTATAAAATCAGCCCTGAAGATCCAACTGTCAGATACCTGCTTTTGAACAGGCTTTTCAAAGGAGTCATGCACACAATCGTTAACTACGTGGAGGAAGATCTGTCTGGAGACGTGCGCACTGTGAAGGGGAGCGTGGAAAGCCCGTCCAGGGATGTTTTGGGGGTTATTCGGCAGGAGATGGAGCTCCTGAAAAGTGCGAAAGTCTCCGAGGAAATCGAGATTGAAGGGGCAGAGTACGAGATTCCTCCATGCACGCTCGTATACATAGTGGAGGGATCTGCCTCTGTGGAGTACTCTGGCGGAAGGTCTTTGGGCGTGCAGGGAAAGAGCCTGGTCGGGTGCCTGGAGAGGTTTTTGCCGTTGGAAAGCAGGCGAGTGATTCGCCCAAAGTCCAAGGTTCTGGCCGTTCTTATAAAGCTCTTTCCAACCGTGGAGACAGACTGCACGTCTCTGGAGAAAGTGGGGGCAGAAGTACTGCAGGAATTCCCGAGTAGGCTGCACGTAGAGCTGGCAGATGCCCTGATAGGCTGGCGAATACTCCAGCCAGGAGAGAAGATGTCAGCAGATCTTCCCACAAAATCGATCAAATTGATCACTAACGGATACTTCCTGAGAACGGGCGATGTAAAGTATTTCGGAGTATCGAGCAAAAATGCACTTTTTGAGAAGGAGGTGCTTTTGGAGCAGGAGTCCCCGTTTGAGCTCGTCTCAACGCGCCTCTCGGAGATCGTGGAGATCCCGAAGGAGTACGTGGGCACCGTCTGCGAGCAGTTTCAGCCCCTCTCCTTCCGCCTGTACAAGAGAATCCTTGGGCGCACGGGGGAGGACCTGGAGCTGGAACAGCCCTCAATAATCACTTTTGTGCCAAATAGCCCGAAAGAGACGCAGCTGGACGTGTTCACGCACTTTCTAAGGAAGGAGATGCAGAAAACCGACTCCTGCTACATCCTTTCCTCCGCGGAGATAGAAAAAACGTTCACTTTCAAGGCCCCGCACGAGTCAAGGATATGCGAAATCCTGCTTTTGAACTACCTGAGAGAGATACAGAG